AGAGACGGGGTTTCACCATGTTGACCAGGATGGTCTCGATCTCTTGACCTCGTGATCCACCCGCCTCGGCCTCCCAAAGTGCTGGGATTACAGGCTTGAGCCACCACACCCAGCTTGCTTTGCTTTTTATACACTGAGATTTGTGTCACAGATCATATCCAAACTATGGTGCAGTACAATAAAAGCAGAGATCCAGCGGTAACAGGAGGCCTATGGTGAAGAGCATCTGAGAGCGCCCTGTAACTGCGGAACACTCGGTGTGGTTGTAGAGCAGAAAAATCTGCTTTGGTCCCAAAACTCATCCCAACAGAGTTTGTGCGAGATCTCCTAAAGGGAGCTTATGCAAAACACTCTGGGAAGTAATGCAACCTCTGCCAGAAGGCCTTACAGGGCAGAGATCACAGGAACGCCAGAGGCTCTGCCTATGTTCTCAGAATATGGAGCAATTCCTATTGCTCTGTGTCCATGATGCTCGGGAGATTAAAGTCCCTTGATGCACGGTGTGTGGTCAGACCTTATGGTGCCTTATACACTACACCTCTTTGCCTCAACACCTCGATAGACAATGGGTTGTAAAACCTCACTGTCCTTAGTTAGCATTTCTTAGGAGAGCCACCTTTGCTATTGAATGCTGCAGACACATGCTCTTCCTAGGGCTATCTTCCTCAACTGCCCCTCCTCACAGCCTTCAAGATGAAGCCCAGAGCTCAGTGCCAGTGATCCCCCAGAGTGTACTGGACCCCTGGACCCATGCAGTAAAATTCTATTCTTGTGTCTTTATTTCCTTTCTCACTCCTTCAGGGTTGGGCTGGTTCCCAACACAAACAATCTATAAATCCAAACACAATTCTAAAACAAATCTTAATATCTGATGTTGAAAACTTTATAAGACAATCCTATAATTCATGTGCAAGAGAAAAGGGCCAAGGATATGTAAAGATATCTTTAAAGAACAAAATTGTATTTTTAAAGACAAATCCTACCAGATAGCAACCATGTTATTTGCTAAAATAATAGTTACCTGTAATCTCAGCATTCTTTGAAGCTGAGGCAGGACGATCACTTGAGGCCAAGAATTCAAGACCAGCCGGGGCAACACAGTCAGACCCAGTCTCTACAAATAATGATAATAATAACATTATTAATATATAAAGTATGGCCACAATTTGAGACCATCCTGGGCAACACAGTCAGACCCAGTGTCTACAAATAATAATAATATTAATACTATTAATAACATATAAAGTATGGCCAGAATTCGAGACTAGCCTGGGCAACACAAACCCGGTCTGTACATGGCTGGGCCCAGTGGCTCACGCCTGTAATCCCAGCACGTTGGGAGTCCGAGGCAGGCAGATTACCTGAGATCAGGAGTTCGAGACCAGGCTGGCCAACTTGGTAAAACTGTCTCTACTAAAACTACAGAAAATTAGCTGGGCATGGTGGTAGGCGCCTGTAATCTCAGCTACTTGGGAGGCAGAGACAGGAGAATTGCTTGAACCTGGGACGCAGAGGTTGCAGTGAGTCAAGATCACACCACTGCACTGCAGCCTGGGCAACAGAGCAAGACTCGGTAACAAAAAAAAAGATCCCTCCCTTCAGAACCCCTTCCCTTGGGGAGGGAAAAAAAAAGACAAGTCCTACCAGGTAGCAGGCATATTATTTGCTATAGTAATAATTACCTTTAATCTCAACATTCTGGGAAACCAGGGCAGGAAGATCACTTGAGGCCAAGAGTTCAAGACCATCCTGGGCAACACAGTGAGACACCATTTCTACAAAAGAAGAAGAATGTCTAAAGTAACAATCACAGCACGCTAAAGACCAGCCTGGCCAAAATAGTGAAACTCTGTCTCTTCGAAAACTACAAAAAAAATTAGTTTAGTGTGGTGGCAGTCAACTGTAATCGTAGCTACTCAGGAGGCTGAGGCAGGAGAATTGCTTGAACCTGGGAGGCAGAGGTTGCAGTGAGCCGAGATCGCGCTATTGCACTCTAGCCTGGGCATCAGAGTGAGACTCCGTCTCCCAAAAAAAAAAAAAAAAGGCACAGGGATGGGCAAGTGACCAATGGAACAGAAAACAGGGCCTAAAAATAATCCATGCACACTTGAAACAATATATGCAAAGATAACATAATCACTGGGGAAAGAATGAACTATTCACCAAATGGCACTATAAAAAAAATTAAATCACTACTTCACATTAATCATAAAATTATACTCTAAGTAATCAAATAACCTAAATATAAAAAGAAAATATTTAAAAATTTTAGAAGAAAATATCTTTCAGATGTCAGGATGAAGAGCTTTTTAAGAAGACACAAAAGAATAAACCATTAAGATGCCACAGAAAAATCAAAGGATGTTCAAAAAATAATAAACCATTAAGAAAAAGGCAAATAAGGCCGGGCAAGGTGGCTCACGCCTCTACTTTGGGAGGCCGAGGCGGGCGGATCACAAGGTCAAGAGATGAGACCATCCTGGTCAACACGGTGAAACCCCGTCTCTACTAAAAATACAAAACATTAGCTGGGCATGGTGGCGCGTGCCTGTAATGCCAGCTACTCAGGAGGCTGAGGCAGGAGAATTGCCTGAACCCAGGAGGCGGAGGTTGCGGTGAGCCGAGATCGCGCCATTGCACTCCAGCCTGGGTAACAAGAGCGAAACTCCGTCTCAAAAAAAAAAAAAAAAAAAAACATAAAAATTAGCCGGGCGTGGTGGCACACGCCTGTAGTCCCAGCTACTGGGGAGACTGAGGCGGAAGAATCGCTTGAATCTGGAAGGCAGAGGTTGCAGTGAGCTGAGATTGCGCCGCTGGGCTCCAGCCTGGACGACAAAGCAAGACCCGGTCTCAAACAAAAAAGAAAAAGAAAAAGAAAAATCGTGCAACATAGAAAGAGAAAAAATTATGCATCACAACTTGCCATAACAAACTAAAAAGACGAGCCACAAATAGAAGACATAGTATCTGAAACTAATACAACAAAGTAGACGAAACATAAATTATGACTAAAAATCAGTAAGAAAAAGCCCAATAATTCAGCAAGGAAAAAAAAAATCACAGAATAGAAATTCTATTCTAATTACAGAATAGAACTAGGACCCAACACTGTGGCTCAAGCCTGTAATCCCAACACTTTGGGATGCTGAGGTGGGCAGATCATCTGAGGTCGGGTGTTGGAGACCAGCCTGATCAACATGGAAAAACCATGTCTCTACGACAAAATACAAAATTAGCCAGGCATGGTGGCGCATGCCCATAATCCCAGCTACTTGGAAGACTAAGCCAGGAAAATCACATGAATCCGGGAGGCAGAGGTTGTGGTGAGTGAAGATCACACAATTACAGGAGGCAGTGGCTCACGCTTGTAATCCCAGCACTTTGGGAGACCTAGGCAGGTGAATCACGAGGTCAGGAGTTCAAGGCCAACGGCCAAGACAGTGAAACCCCTGTCTCTACTAAAAATACAAAAATTAGCCAGGCATGGAGGTGGGCACCTGTAATCCCAACTACTCAGGAGGCTGAGGCAAGGAATTGCTTAAACCTGGGAGGCAGAGGTTGCAGTGAGCCAAGATTGTGCCACTGCACTCTAGCCTGGTCACAAAGCAAGACTCCAACTCAAAAATAAATAAAAACACAAAGATTAAAAAAATAAATAGCCAATTCAGGTGGGCGTGGTGGCTCACACCTATAATCCCAGCACTTTGGGAGGACAAGGTGGGTGGATCACTTGAGGTCAGGAGTTCGAGACCCGCCTGGCCAACATGGTGAAACCTTGTCTCTGCTAAAAATACAAAAATTAGGGCTGGACACAGTGGCTCATGCCTACAATCCCAGCACTTTGGGAGGCCGAGGCCGAGGCAGACACATCAGCCTGAACGACAAAAGTAAGAGTTTGTCACAAAAGAAAATTTTTTTTGAAAAATAATTTTGAGCATATTTGAAAAATAATTTGTAGAAAATTTCTAACTAGAATGCTAGAAATGACTAAATCTGAAAGAACCAAGACATAAAAGATATGCAAAATGTGTCAAAAACATAACGTTAGCCGGGCGCGGTGGCTCAAGCCTGTAATCCCAGCACTTTGGGAGGCCGAGGCGGGTGGATCATGAGGTCAAGAGATCGAGACCATCCTGGTCAACATGGTGAAACCCCGTCTCTACTACAAATACAAAAATTCAGCTGGGCATGGTGGCGTGTGCCTGTAATCCCAGCTACTCAGGAGGCTGAGGCAGGAGAATCTCTTGAAGCCTGGAGGCAGAGGTTGCAATAAGCTGAGATCACACCATCGCACTCCAGCCCAGGTGACAAGAACGAAACTCCATCTCAAAAAAAAAAGTGGCTGAAGAAAATGGGCATGCTGGAATAGACATACTGTACTGTTAGTATGTGAGACCAAAGAGAATGGTGTTCCAAGAAAGGCCCCAAAGGACATAACATTTACAAGACCATCAGGAATGCACTAGTGATATCAGTGGGCATCAGTACTGCTTAGAAATTCAGTTGGTGGCTCCTGTGCAATCCACAGCTGATGACAGGAGAAGCAGTCGCAGAGCTGAGCTACTCAAAATACATGGTACTCAAGATACATGGGGAAGTACCTCCCACCACATCACAGAGGCCAGGTAGCACTGCTTAGCTGCCAAAAGCCAGAAATGGGCAACTACCATAAAACTGGCAATGTTGGTAGCCATGGGACTTTGACCCACACAGTTGTGGATACATGGAGCATGGCATCCCTAGAAGAAAAATATGTGGACAGCCAAAAACGATGCTACTACACATCTACAACCCAAAAAAAAAAAAAAGCAAGAAGAGAAGAGAGGAAGAAGGGGCAGCTAACGGCAATCACCACAATAAACAGTCAAAATCCTTAATTCACTCCTGGATCTGAGCCAATTTTTTTTTTTTTTTTTTTTTTTTTTCCCCCGAGACAGAATCTTGCTCTGTTGCCTAGGCAGGAATGCAGCGGCACAATCTAGCCCTGCTGCAACCTCTTCCACCTCCAGGGTACAAGGGCCTCTCCTGCTCAGCCTCCCCAGTAGCTGGGATTACAGGCACACGCCCAGCTAATTTTTGTATTTTTAGTAGATACAGGGTTTCGCCTTGTTGAGGCCAGGTCTCAAACTCCTGACCTCAAGTGATCTGCCCACATCTCCCAAAGTGCTGGGATTACAGGTGTGAGCTACCGTGCCCAGCTGAGCCAACTTTCATACCCAAAACTCAATTACTGAAGAAGTGCCCAAATCCCTAGGAAAGGATGCTAAAACTGGGAGGGAATTTGCATATCCTTCTCCATTAATTTGCATATCCTTCTCCTCTATTAACTGAGGCAGTCCCTCTTGCTGCCAGGTGGGGGCAGGGTTGCTCTTTGAACAATTTCCCCCAATTCCTCCCAAAAGTGAGACCGTCAACATATCACCTACTCAGATAACGGTATGCTGGGTAAAGGGAAATGCCTAGACACTTTCAGGATTTGGGGCAAAAGATCTGAGCTGACAATGAAACTTCAAAACCCAAAGCATCATCATAATCCCTGCATTAGCCTGGGGACTTACAGGTGTCAGGCAGTAACTCAAGTCCTAGCCAACACAGAGCTCACTGTACGTCTGCTTGTCCATTGACCCATCGCTAGTCATTTCCTCGGTTCTACGTGTTTAAATGGGGGCTGGGGGTGGGAGACTGAGGCAGGAGAGTTGCTTGAACCTGGGAGGCAGATGTTGCAGTGAGCCTAGATCATGCCACTGTACTCCAGCCTGGGCAACACAGTGGGGATCTGTCTCAAAACAAACAAACAAACAAAAAAAAAACAAAAACTAGCCAGGCATGGTAGTGGTGCACACCCGGAGTCTCAGCTGCTTGGGAGGTTGAGGCCCAAGAACTCGGGAGGTGGAAATTGCAGTGAGCCCAGATAGCGCCACTGCAAGCCAGCTCACTCTATCTCAAAAAAAAAAATTAAAAGTGGCTCACACCAGTAATCCCAGCACTTTGGGAGTCCGAGGCAGGTGGATCACAAGAGCAAGAGATCGAGACCATCCTGGCCTACATGGTGAAACCCATCTCTACTAAAAATACAAAACTTAGCTGGGCGTGGTGGTACATGCCTGTAATCCCAGCTACTAGGGAGTCTGAGGCAGAAGAATCACTGCACACCAGCCTAGATGATAGAGTGAGACCCTAGTTTAAAAAGAAAAGAAATGAGGCCGGGCGCGGTGGCTCAAGCCTGTAATCCCAGCACTTTGGGAGGCCGAGGCAGGTGGATCACGAGGTCAAGAGATCGAGACCATCCTGGTCAACATGGTGAAACCCTGTCTCTACTAAAAATACAAAACATTAGCTGGGCATGGTGGCGCGTGCCTGTAATCCCAGCTACTTAAGAGGCTGAGGCAGGAGAATTGCCTGAACCCAGGAGGCGGAGGTTGCGATGAGCCAAGATCGCGCCATTGCACTCCAGCCTGGGTAATTAAAGCAAAGAGCCGTCTCAAAAAAAAAAAAAAAGAAAAGAAAAGAAATTGAGGCCCACCGTGATGGCTCAGGCCTGTAATCCCAGCACTTTGGGAAGCCGAGGCAGGAGGATCACTTGATGTCAGGAGTCCAAGACCAGCCTGGCCAACATAGCAAAACCCCGTCTCTACTAAAATATGAAAAGTAGCCAGGTGTGGTGGCAGGTGCCTGCTACTCAGAAAGCAGAGGCAAGAGAATCGCTTGAGCCTGAGAGGCAGAGGTTGCAGTGAGCTGAGATCACACCACTTCACACCACTGTACTCCAGCCTGGGTGATAGAGCGAGACTCTGTCTCAAAAAAAAAAAAAAAAAAAGAGAAAAAAGAAAGAAAAGAAAAAGAAACTGAACTTGAATCTTTTCTCCAAGGTCCTGACTTACTGTCTCCCAGTTCCCTGCCAAGCACTGGGAGGGAATTTACCTATGTCTCCTCTATTGAGGCAGTCCCTCTTGCTGCCAGGTGGGGGCAGGGTTGCTCTTTGAACAAACTTTCCAGCCCTCTCTAAGAGCAAAATCATTTGGTAAGGTAGGACAGTAAATGAATTTGCTGGGAAAAAATCCCTTAAAAATTTACAGCCTTCCCAACATAAAGAGGCAAACTGAAAAAATACTTATGTAGGTAGCTAAGTGTATACCGAGTCCTATTTGCAAATTGTATTCTGCTAGACAATAGAGATAATGGGATGATTTACCTAGATAAAATCAAACCCCAGGGCGTTTACTGTGGGTGGGAAGTGGCAGATTAGGCTTGGGGAAGGAGTGGTGATGGGGAGGCAGGGCTTCTTTTCCTGTAGAGACAGGGGTTTCATCTTACTGTGTTGCCCAGGCTGGTCTCAAACCTCTGGCCTCAAGGGACCCTCTCCCCTTGGCCTCCCAAAGTGCTGGGATTACAGATGTGAGCCACTGGCCCTGTCACAAGCAGGGATTTTTTTTTTTTTGAGACAGAGTCTCACTGTTTGTTGCCCAGGCTGGAATGCAATGGCACAATCTCAGGTCAATGCAACCTCCACCTCCCGGGTTCAAGCAATTCTCATGCCTTGGCCTCCTGAGTAGATGGGATTACAGGCACATGCCACCAGGTCGGGCTAATTTTTGTATTTTTAGTAGAGACAGGGTTTTCACCATATTGCCCTGGCTGGTCTTGAACTCCTGACTTCAGGTGATCCACCTGCCTCAGCCTCCCAAACTGCTGGGATTACAGGCCTGAGATACCACACCCAGCCTACTTTTTTTTTTCTTAATGCCCTCTTCTCTAGTGAATTCTAGGTCACTACACAAAGGTTGCAAACTCACAATCATGGGTCACCTTTGGCCCACAGGCATATTTGGGTTTTCTTATTTGTTTGTTTTTGAGACTGGATCTTGTCCCCCAGGCTAGAGTGCAGTGGCCTGATCTCTGCTCACTGTAACTTCCACCTCCTGGGTTCAATTGCTTCTCCTGCCTCAGCCTCCTAAATTGCTAGGATTACAAGCCCCACCACCACGCCTGGCTAATTTTTGTATTTTTCTTAGAGACGGGACCCCGTTGACCAGGCTGGTCTCCTGACCTCAGGTGACCCACCCACTTCAGCCTCCAAAAGTGCCAGGATTACAGGTGTGAGCCACCAATGCCCAGCCAAAAATTTTTAATTCAACATTTTAAAATGGGTAAATACACTATTATGGACTTCTGGATTCTCTTGAAAACTGACTATCTGATCACACAGAGACAATATGCTCACAAAGCAACCATCAGCTGGAGCTGTGAAAGGGCTTGCCCAGTTCACCAGAGTCCCAACTCAGTTCATTTCCCTTACCCACATTACTTACCTGATTTCTATAAGTGAGTTGGAGACCCCCAGATCTAAATCCCCTCTTTTCCATCTCCACTGCTGTTACACTTGTTAGTATTGAATCTTCTTGCCTAAGCTACTATGGCAATCTAATTTATCTCCTTGTCTCCACCTTATCCCCCCATGTTTTATCACCTTCCTACTTAAAAACTCTCTCTGGTTTTTTTCTATCAATAATTCAAATGATTTAGCTTTGCATTCAAGGTCCTGCTTATCTGGCTTTCCCCAGGAAGTACTTTCCAGTTTCATATTCTAGTACTCCCCTTTTGCCCATCTTTCATGAATTATATCCATACACGTCCTTCTTTTCCTAGCACCAAGCCTGTGCTCAGTGTTTCTTTAACTGGAATTCCCCTCCCAAGTCCATCTACCCTTTCAGGCTCAGACGTTCTATAAAGCATTTCCCAACTGCCATCCCAGACAAAGCCTCCGCAGCCTTGTCTGTCCACTCTGGGCCATCTTGATTTCCCATAGTTTATCTGTCCCACTTTGTCTTCTGGGTTTTTTTGTTTTGTTTTGTTTTGTTTTAAGATGGGGTTTCACCATATTGGTCAGGCTGGTCTCGAACTCCTGACCTCAGGTGATCCGCCCACCTCAGCCTCCCAAAGTGCTGGGATTACAGGTGTGAGCCACCACCCCCAGCTGTCTTTTGTTTTTTGACACAAGGTCTCACTCAGTCATCCAAGCTGTAGTGCAGGGCAGTGGCTCGATCACAGCTCACTTGCAGCCTCAACCTCCTGGGCTCAAGCAATCCTCCCATCTTAGCTTCCCAAGTAGCTGCAGCTACAAGCACGCACCACCATTCCCGGCTAATTTTTTCTTTTCTTTCTTTTTTTTCCATTCATAGAGATGAGTTTTTCACTATGTTGCTTAGGCTGGTCTTCAACTCTTGGGCTCAAGAGATCCTCCAGCCTTGCCTCCCAAAATGCTGATCCAGGCCGGGCGTGGTGGCTCACACCAGTAATCCCAGCACTTTGGGAGGAAAAGGTGGGAGGATCACCTGAGGTCAGGAGTTCGAGACCAGCCTGGCCAAATGGTAAAACCCTGTCTCTACTTAAAAAGAAAAAATTAGCTGGGTGTGGTGGTGGGCACCTGTAATCTCAGCTACTCAGGAGGCTGAGGCAGGAGAACTGCTTGAACTCAGGGGGCTGGAGATTGCAGTGAGCTGAGATTGCGCTATTACACTCCAGCCTGGGAGACAAGAGCAAAACTCCATCTCAAAAAAAAAAAAAAAAAAAAAACAAAGTGCTGAGCCAAACACCAGGCCTATCTCATTTTCTGTCTATTTTGCTACAACTTTTCAGTCCTGGACTTAGGCTACTTATACTCAAGTCTTAATTTCCCAACAGATGAAAATCTCCTAGAGGGCAGAGTGTCTTATCTTTCCCCCCATATGTTTTTTCATGCACAGAACAAGTGCTTAATGATTAGTGAATAAACTTATTCCAGTCTAAAATAACTTCCTTCAAACTGCAGTTCCCTCAGCATTTATGCACAGTGTCAATGTTCCCCTGGGGTATGCATGGGAAGTGTCCCCAAGAGAGTGAAAATTGGGCCAGATGAGAGATGAGAAACAGCACCCAATTATTCCATTTGTTTCCTGTGTATTTGCTTGCCCCCACCCCCCAACTATCTTGAGAACAGAACTGAGTGATGTAAAAGTAGTAAAGCACAGCCTGGCTAACATAATGAGACCCCATCTCCACAAGTTTAAAAATAAAATATTCCGGGCCGGGAGCCGTAGCTCACACCTGTAATCCCAGCACTTTGGGAGGCCGAGGCGGGCAGATCACCTGAGGTCAGGAGATCGAGACCAGCCTGGCCAACATGGTGAAATCCCGTCTCCACTAAAAATACAAAAATTAGCCAGGCATGATGGCGGGCGCCTGTTATCACAGCTACTCAGGAGGCTGAGGCAGGAGAAACGCTTGAACCTGGGAGGCGGAGGATGCAGTGAACCGAGATCGCTCCACTGCACTCCAGCCTGGGCGGCAGAAGGAGACTCCGTCTCGGGGGGAGCAAAATGTTTATAAAGTGTGCTTGTACACAGAGATGTTTACCACAAACGACTGAACTAATGCTGTCCGGTCTCCATAAAACAGTCTATAGCTGACTGCAACCACTCTGATCAGACAGGAGGTGCAGCAGGCAGCACTGCCGCAGCTCTTTAAGGTTCGGCTTCTATAAAATGGGGGTTGTCATCCCACGTAGCTCAAGATTTTGTGGATTAACAGATTCATATAGTTTGCTTAAAAAGAGGAACCATCGGCCCGTCTCAGTGGCTCACGCCTGTAATCCCAACACTTTGGGAGGCCAAGGTGGGCGCATCACGAGTCAGGAGATGGAGACCAGCATGGCTAACACGGTGAAACCCCATCTCTATTAAAACTACCAAAAATTAGACGGGCATGGTGGCATGCGACTGTAGTCCCAGCTTCTCGGGAGGCTGAGGTGGGAGAATCGCTTGAACCCGGGAGGCGGAGGTTGCAGTGAGCGAAGATCCGCCACTGCATTCCAGACTGGGAAACAGAGCGAGACTCCGTCTCAAAACAAAAACAAAAAAAAAGTGCTCCACAACTGTTAGCTAACGTTGGCCCGTAGTAGTCCAAAATCTAAAGAAAACTCACCAGAATGCAGGACATCGGGGGCCAAGTTAGGAAAAAATCAGATCCCGTCTTCAGTGGAGCACTTATGCCCTGACTTACTCTCCCGAAATGGCTCCACGAAAGGGGACCTCCACCCGAGCTTAGCCCGGGATCCAGTACCTGAGCCTTCCCCCGCGCTGAGAGCCTGGACACCAGCCTCTGAATGTGAGCTGGGCTGCTGGCGCGGAACCGAGACGACGTTGGTCAAGGCTTCAGGAGGTTGTGGTTCCATGGAGGCGGATCTTGCACACGGGTTTAAGGTGTGTGGGGGCAAAGGGGAGCTCAGAACAGGGTGCTCAGATCCGACCGTCAGTCCAGGATCGGCGTGAGCTTAGATCGTCGAACCTCGGATCCGACCGGCAGTCCAGGATCGGAGTGAAGCAGTGATCTCACCGCTCCTGCCACGTGCACTGGGAGAGAAGGCCAAGCCGCAATGCGGTCGGTGAGCGAGCGCGCTTCCATAGGGCGCATGCGCTCCTTTTTCGCGCTGCAAGTTCATGTAGCGCTTTGTCTACGCCCCCCTGCCCCGGATCTCTCTACCCACAACTCCCCGGGGTCGCTGGCGGTCAATGTATGCGCGTGCGCTTCCATAGCCCCACCCACGAATCCCGTGGGCCTCTGCGGGAAGATATTTAAGCGTCTCTCGGCGCTCCCATCGGTCTCATTGCTCCACTTGGTTAGGTGAGTGATTCGTAGGCTTTCTAGCTGTTAAGTATTTGGTGTTTTTGTTGTTTTTGTTTTTGTACGTTATGCGAACACGGCATAGCACGCGCAGTACCTTCTGTATTGTAGCTGTCTGGCCAGGATGACGGGCCGTTGAGGTCTTGGGCATGGCCTCAAGGCTTCAAAGCAGCTTCGGGCCTTTTTGAAGGACAAAATGGCGATGGTGGGTCGTGCAGGTGGCCCTGTCTATGATGAGGAACTTTTCACAGACCTGTACTGAGCTCCGTGAGGATAAGTAACTCTGAGGAGACGGGCCCTGCAAACCTCCTATTGAGCCGTTGCTTCAGAAAATAGCGTTTTCAAAATACCCTGTGTTGACATAATGTCGTCTTGGGTTCTTGTTTGCAGGGTTTACGCGCACGTTTGAGTCGAAAAGAATTCTATCGTTACAGTAAGTTTTTATGGCCACTTCTTAATCTCTGTTCTTTAACTGTGTGTGGAAGTCGCTACGGGGATGATTTTACTAACTGAACTCTCTCTTTCTGATGGATTAGTGGAGAAAACAACATTTCTGAGTAGCACTGTACTGTAAGCAACAAACCTCAGGGGCCTACTGAATTCGTTCTGAGTTGTTAGTGAAGGGTGTTATTTTTCAGATGTTCAGCCCGCAAGAGGTTACTGGTGAAGAAATGGGACAAGACCCATCTTTCGGCAAAGCCAACGTTTCAGTAATGCTCCAGGTAGGTTTACCTGGTTCATGCTATTACGGAGGTAGATTACCACTCCGTGATGAACACAAAATGACAAGCATATGGCTGAACTTCAAAGTGATGTCATCTTACTACTGAGAAGTGGGCCAGAGGTCTTACGGTGTTTTTGAGTGGCTATTTTTAGGTTCATAAAATGCCTTCCTCTGTTTGCAGCATCTCACAGTCTATCCTGAGGAATTCAAATGCCTCCCAGGGTGAATACAGGTAATTATCCAAATTAATTGGGGGATGTCATCTCTAAATGTTCACAAGAGGCAAGTGGTCGGCGGAAGCAATGCTGCTTTTTGTCGCCTTCCATCTTGTTTCTCTTGAAATGATTTTCTGGGGAGGGAGAAGGCAGCCCAGTGCTACAGTGCTTCTTAAGGGTGCGTGTTTCCCTCATCCATGTAACACATTACTGTCAGATGATTTGAATTGATGAGCTGATGTCCTGTGAGGTACCAAAGTTAATAGCATGTTAGAGTTCTGATGGCAGTTGTTGTTTATGAGGAAGCTTCATTCCATCCTAATACCTTAAAATAACTAATTTGCTCACCTTTCCAGGTAGTCCTGCTGATGGTCTGCTTCTATCTTAAAGTAAGTTGGTTTTTGAGTTGTATGAGTATTATCCAGCTTGGCCATCTTGGTACTTGTTTCCAAAGTCTGCTTAACCCATAAAGTTGGCTGGTTTCTCTTGTTCTCTGTAGTGATGTTTCAAAGCCCCACCTTTTTTCTCGCAGATAACCACTGATGTGCCCAGGATCAGACATGCTTTTTAGTTGTAGCTTTCTCCAGGGTTCAGCCTTACCCCCCTGTTAAAGCGTGGGAACAAATCATTGTGAACCCGCCAGTTTTAACTGGAAGAGAGCATGAAAGCTTATTCCATAAGGAACTGTCTGGGGCATTTGGTTACCTTTTCTTAGCTTGTCCCTAGCAACCATAACTAAAATAGTTTTAGCTGTTTTGGGCTAATTAGCTAATTGAATGTTTTATTATTATTATTCAGGAGCAGTTTGTTGCTATTTACCATTGAAAAGCCTTTGAAGCCGAGAGGTTAGTTGATGTTTTTGTTGTTACTTGCAGCTTATACCACCAAGTAGGCAGTTTCTATGATGAATCAAACTAGCTCACTATGACTGACAGTGAAAACACATGAACACCTGAGAAACGAGAATGCAAGGGAGTGAGGGGTCACCATATGCCTGAGGAATCTTTCATTCACAGACTTGTTTTTCTCTAGGTGCTATTACCAATAACCTGCTTTTGGGCTCAAAGGTGAGTAATTTCACTGTATTCAGTGCATTCAGCATATAGAGCAGGAAAAAGTGCCTTTTTAGGCCTCTGTGATGACTTAAATAGAATCTCGTTCGGCTGATAACTTGCTGTTGAGACTCTAAAATCTGATTTTCTAGGAATGATAACTTGGGTGGGAACAACTTGGTGCAAGGTATCAGACATTACTGACTAGAGGTCTTCCTCCCTTCAGGGCCCGTACCTTCTCTCTACAGCTCAAGGGGAATTTGAGGTAAATGCCTTTGCAATGGCTACCATCAATGGCTGTCATTTTTCTGTGTGATACCACTGTGTTCTGGATGAATGTGTACAGGCATTACTTGCCTAACCCAAAGTCTTTAATCATTCCTGAACCACCAGTGAGTTCCTGCTCACCAGTGATGAGTTGAATACCGCCCCAGTCTGATCAGAGTGACTGAATGGTGTTTTCTGAGCTGTGAGCCTGCTTTGCAATGACATTCTAAAAATTAGAAGTTAATTGAGGAGGCCTTCTTTACAGCCAGTAAGTTTCTTGGCCTAAGTGCTTCCTGTAAAATGTGCCCTGAAACCTTCTGGCAAGCAGCACATACACTGGAAAGATAGTAAAATGAAAGTCTCTCAAAACTAACTTCTTGATTTTGTAGGAAAACTAGATGTTTCTGCTCACCTCCAAACTGAAGTTATAGGTGAGTAAACCTAACTGTAAGGTGGGCTAAGCTAAAATTTCCCAATGAAGAAACTTTCACATGTCTTACCCTCTGTCCTAGTCCCAGAGCCTGTAAAGGTGAACCCACTGGGACTGGCTGGGGGAGAAGAGGAAGGTTTGTTCCAGAAGGAACTGTCTGAGGGACCATAAATATTTCTGTGCAGAGAAAGGGAGTAATCATCACTTATTGAAAACATTGGTTTTATTTTTTCCAGGTCTGAGTAAAGAACAAGGTATATATAAGTGGTAGGTATCTGACTAAATATTTAACTGGTTTTAAAATAGCCTTTAATAAGCTGCTAGGTTACATGGTATTAAATATTCTATTGATTTGTATTTTTTAATCTATATTGATTTGTATTTTTCAATCCAGTGACTTTTTTTCCTCTGCAGGAATCTGTCTTGAACATTAGAAGGTGAATTTTACAAGTCCGTGGACAACTTGGCTGTTGAAGTTTACATACTGTCATTTTAGTCTTCAGTTCATGTTTTAAGCCTTACTGTAAATCATGCTTTTGGTTGGGTCTACCTGGGCACAAGCAAGTAAGCCCTGAGAGTTTGCTGTTTTAACTGGGTTTTACCCAGCTTCATTGGCAATCTGCCCTAATACTGGATTTCCTAACCCAAGGCAGCATTCAAGGAGCTTAATTTATCAGCATACTTAAGAGACTTATTCCCTAGATGTACACCACTGAAGCAATCTTGAATGAAAAGCTTGCAGGGTTTGGGTGTCTTGGCCTCACCATAATGTGAACAAGTTGCTTTGAGTTGCTATTAATTTCAATTTCTGTTACTATATTGGTTATTGGTGAAAATTAATAAAATACTTAGTACTGAGGTTTAGTTTTGTTTTTTGCATCTCCTTTGCTAGCAGCTGGGGCTTGGGACTACAGTAGAGGTGGTATCTCACCATGTTTGCCAGGCTGGCCAGGATTCATCCTGACCTCAAGTGACCTTCCCACCTCCCAAATAGTGCTTTTTCACTGGTCTTGGGAAAGCAGGGAGAGCACAGGGACAGTGCCAACCTGTGGGTACTGTGGGGTAGAGAGTTACCTATGGTTAGGTCAGCAGCTCTCAATTTTTTCAGATGCTCATTTCTGTTACCCAGGCTGGAGAATGCTTGTGTGATCATGGCTCACTGCACCCTGGGCACCAGTGATTCTCCCACCTCACCTTCCTGAATAGCTGGGACCACAGGTGGACACCAGCATGCCCAACTAATTTTGTGTTTTTTGTAGAGACAGTTCCACAATGTTACCCAGGCTGCTCTCGAACTCCATAGTTCAAGCAGTCCACCCACCTCTGCCTCTGAAAGTGCTGGGATTACAGACACCTGAATCTGGCCAGGGTTTTTTTTTTTTTATGAGGTTTCACCATGATGGCCAGGCTGGTCTTGAACCCCTGACCTCAGGTGATCCACCCACCTTAGCCTCCCAAAGTGGTAGGAAGTACAATGGCGTGATCTCAGCTCACCACAACCTCCACCTCCTGGGTTCAAGCAATTCTGCTAAAGCCTCCCAAGTAGCTGGGACTGCAGGCATGTGCCACCATGCCCAGCTAATTTTTTGTATTTTTTAGTAGAGACGGGGTTTCACCGTGTTGACCAGGATGGTCTCGATCTCTCGACCTCGTGATCCACCCGCCTCGGCCTCCCAAAGTGCTGGGATTACAGGCTTGAGCCACCGCGCCCGGCATTTTTTTCTTTTTTTGAGACAGGGTTTCACCATATTGGTTAGACTGGTCTCGAACTCCTGACTTCAGGTGATCCACCCGCCTCAGCCTTCCAAAGTGCTGGGATGGCATGAGCCACTGCCCCCAGCCCCAGCTTTGTTTTTTGTAAGCTGAAATGGCACCATTGCACTCCATCCTGGGGAACAAAAATGAAACTCTGCCCCAAAAAATTAATAACCAAGCACAGTGGCCCATGCCTGTAATCCCAGCACTTTGGGAGGCTGAGGGAAACAGATCATGAGGTCAGCAGTTTGAGATAAGCCTGGCCAACATGGTGAAATCTCTACTGAAAATACAAAAATGAGCTGAGCATGGTGGCACATGCCTATAGTCCCAGCTACTTGGGAAGCTGAGGCACCAGAATTGCTTGAGCTTGGTAGGTGGAGGTTACAGAAAGAGATGAGACTGGGACAATATGGAGAAATGGAGAAGGCCAGAATGACTGAGGCCTGGCTCCTCACATTTCTTCTGTACATTAATGACTTGGACTACAATGTCTCTAGCCCGGACATCTTCCCTAAGCTCCAGATACACCAAACCTCCCACTTGATGTCCAATGGGACATTCGGCTCCTTGATTCCCTGCCCTTCCCCTGCTCCCCTCCCAACCCCATCTCCCCACCTTAGTAAAAGGCACTGACAAGCTCCTCTATCTCAAATGCAGCAATGCGCTCACCAGAAAAACCAAGGCTCTTTGTTGACTGCTGTTTGGTTACATCCCAGAGGAGGAAGGAGGAGAGACAAAAAGATGAACAAACAATTGAATATTATTTAAAATAGTGCAGTGGTTCTCAGCCAAGGGTGGCTTTTCCCCCTAGGGGACATTTAGCAATGTCTGCAGACATTTTTGGCTGTCACAACTTAGAGAGGGGAGGTATATACTACTGACATCTAGTGGGTACAGGCCAAGGATGCTGCCAAATCCCACAGTGTACAGGACAGCCCCTCTCCCCTACCACCTCTTAAGCAATGAATTGTACAGTCCAAAAAGTCTATATAATGCTGAATTTCAGACTCCCTGGGATTTACAACATTTGCTGGCAAAGAGGAAACTGATACATCAAGAAAGGTGGTGGTCAGGTGGCTGGGTATGGTGGCTCATGTCTGTAATCCCAACACTTTGGGAGGCCGAGGCGGGCGGATCATAAGGTCAAGAGATCAAGACCATCCTGGACAACATAGTGAAACCCCATTTCTACTAAAATACAAAACTTAGCTGGGCATGGTGGCGCATGCCTGTAATCCCAGCTACTGAGGAGGCCAAGATAGAAGAATTGCTTGAATAAGGGAGTCAGAGGTTGCAGTGAGCTGAGATCACACCACTGTACTCCAGCCTGGCAACAGAGTAAGACTCCATGTCAAACAAAACAAAAAAATATATATATATACACATGTATAAATATTGCTGGGCACAGCGGCTTATGCCTATAATCCCAGCACTTTGGGAGGCCAAGGTGGGTGAATTACCTAAGGTCAGGAGTTTGCAACCAGCCTGGCCAACGTGGTGAAACCCCGTTTCTACTAAAAATACAAAAATCAGTCCAAGCACCATGGCTAGCTCGTGCCTGTAATCCCAGCACTTTGGCAGGCGGATCACCTGAGATCACCTGAGATTGAGAGACAGCCTGACCAACACGGAGAAACACCAGCTCTACTAAAAATACAAAATTAGCCAGGCATGGTGGCACATGCCTGTAATCCCAGCTACTATGGAGGCCAAAGCAGGAGAATCGCTTGAATCCAGGAGGCAAAGGCGGCAGTGAGCCAAGTTCAAAGCATTGCACTCCAGCCAGAGCAACAAAAGCAAAACCCCATATCAAAAAAAAAAAAAAAAAAAAAACAGATGCGGTGGCTCATGCCTGTAATCCCAGCACTTTGGAGGCCGAGGCAGGTGGATCAGGAGTTTGAGACCAGCTTGGCCAACATGGTGAAATCCTGTTTCTACTAATAATACAAAAAATTAGCCAGGCGTGGTGGCAGGCGCCTATAATCCCAGCTACTCAGGAGACTGAGGCAAGAGAACCACTTGAGCTTGGGAGGTGGAGCTCTCAGAGAAGGCGCCATAGCACTCTAGCCTGGCCAACAGAGTGAGACTCCATCTCAAAAAAAACAAAAAAAGCCAAATAGCCCGGTATAGTGGCACATGCCTGTAATCTCAGCTACTTGGGGGGCTGAGGCAGGAGAATTGTTTGAACCCGGGAGGCAAAGATTGCAGTGAGCTGAGATCGCACCACTGTACTCCAACCTGAGGGACAGAGCGAAACTCCACCTCAAAAAAATAAAATAAAAAATACAAAAATTCGGCCGGGCGCGGTGGCTCAAGCCTGTAATTCCCAGCACTTTGGGATGCCGAGGCGGGTGGATCACGAGGTCAACAGATCGAGACCATCCTGGTCAACATGGTGAAACCCCGTCTCTACTAAAAATACAAAAAATTAGCTGGGCATGGTGGCGCGTGCCTGTAATCCCAGCTACTCAGGAGGCTGAGGGAGGAGAATTGCCTGAACCCAGGAGGCGGAGGTTGCGGTGAGCCGAGATTGCGCCATTGCACTCCAGCCTGGGTAACATGAGTGAAACTCTGTCTCAAACAAAA